CAGGTAAAACTAAATTTTTCCCAGGACCAGATGGAAAAGCGAGGGGGTTAGGTTAGTCACTCTTCCTGGCTTCCTCAAGGTGACTGTCAGTCCCAGATGCTTATCTGTAGGGAGGTAAGCATTTGTTTGATCTTCTGTCTTGAGGTCTGGCCCACAGCAGGAGTGTGTGTCTCTCTCACAGTCAGGAGGTATCTGGCCTTCCACCTGGCCCCTTCTGACTACCTATTATATTTCTGACTCACCTGCCTATAACACGTCCCCTGCTTAATGCATTTCCATGGCTATCAAGATGCAGCCTGACCTTCCGCCACAGCAACCATTGAAAAAGAATAGCCGTGGCCCTCTGTTATCCCATGGCCGTGGGCCTCAACAAGGGCCACAAGGTGACTAAGAATGTGAGCAAACCGAGGCACAGCCGCCGCCGCGGACGTCTCACCAAACACACCAAGTTCGTGGGGGACATGATCCGGGAGGTGTGCGGCTTCGCCCACTACGAGCGGCGCACCATGGAGCTGCTCAAGGTCTCCAAGGACAAGCGCGCCCTCAAGTTCATCAAGAAACGGGTGGGGACGCACATCCGCGCCAAGAGGAAGCGTGAGGAGCTGAGCAACGTGCTGGCCGCCATGAGGAAGGCAGCTGCCAAGAAGGACTGAGCCCCTCTGGAACAAAGCTTTGCAGGAAAAAAAAAAAAATGCAGCCTGAGCTCTCCACTGTGCAGACCCCAGGGCTACAGCTGTCATGGTGTCCCCAACTGCAGGTGTGACAGGTCTTCAGAGCCTAGGCCAAGCTGGGAGGAGTGGGCTATGTGGCTGAGGAGGGACACGGCCCTGAAGCTGGCCTGCCCATACCAACTGGTGGGCTCTCAAACTGGGCCCTCACCTGTGTCTGCTCTGCATGGTGGCTCATGGGAACCTGGGCACCACCTGGCCCTCCCACTGGCAAAGGTGTGTGGCTTTGACCCCTGCAACTCTTTCTTCCCCTATCAAGTGCCTGACTTCCCTCCCCAGTCCCTGCGAGCTCAGAAGGCACACACCCTGCCACGGGGCATGGATCCCTACCTGCTGCACACACTGCTCTCCTCCTCTGTCTGGATGACTGTTTCCACCCTTGTACCTTTCTTCCTCCAAAAAGCAGCTGTCTGTTTGTGACTTAGCTTCTACACTAACCCCCCCCCCCACCATGGCTCCCTATGGACTGGGACAGAGACCATGGTGGACAGAGCTCTACTTGGCCTCCTTGCTGCTTCACAGGGCAGCAACAACTCCTCCTCCCCAGGTGACCTCGGGGCTTTGCACGGCTCCCACCACCTGAGGCTGGCTAGAATGACTCCTCCCTTGCCTGCCTCTGCCTTCTCCTTCCCCATTGTTCTTGGAGGCCAGCTCATTCTTGGACCATCTGGATTCTGCTAGGATCAGAAGGGCCAGGGCCAGGGCTAGGTAGTTCCCTCTGCAGCCCAGGCCTGACACAGTCCACCTGCATGATTTGTTCTTGCACTCTGGCCAAGAGCAGCTGCTGTGGTGTGGGTTCCGGATTTGGTGCTAAAAATACCCCTGGCCCAGACAGGAAGGGCCAGCAGGGACACAGCTGCTCCTGGGAGGGGTGGCTGAAGCTGCAGTGGAGGCCCACCTACCGTGGTTGGTGGGGTCCACCTGCAGGATGCTCACAGGAAAGGGTCCCAAATGCAGAGACAAGTGCTCAGAGCCAGCAGAGGGGCAGTGTGTCATCAAGAGCTCCAAGAGGGACATAACCATTCATCTTGCCTCTGACTCTTGTGGTTTGTGCCACTGCCATGGATAGCTATGGGAATCAAATACACTTAAAAATTAAGCAGTCAGGGCCCTACAGGAAGATAGGTGAGCTCTAGCTCTTCAGGTGCATAAGGAGGGCTTCCTGGAGTAGGGGGCATTTCTATCACCTGCCTTCCTTTCTTTTGAAAGCACATCTGGGTTGCTAGGGAAGAAAATGAATAAATGAACAACAAGGCTTGGAGGAGAAAAGTTGGGGCCTGAGTAAGAGGTGGTGAGGAGCACTATGGAGGAGTAAAGGACAGGAGTGTCCCTGTGGCTGGGACTGAGGGGTGATTCAAGGTTTCTGGATGGCCACCACAGGCTGCTGAGGATCCATGCTTGTGTGTGAGGCAGTGAGGAGGGGGGCAGCTGGGTGGCCATGCAGCTCCTGCCATGGACACTGGCAGAGCCTGGACAGAAGATCCAGGGCTCATCTGGGGCCATCAGACCTGGGAATCTCAGGTTCTCTGCTTTGCAACTGGGACAGACACAGAGCTAAAGGTGGCATGAGGAGCAGAGCTCATGGCCATCTTGCTGTGGGACCCCAGGACCTTCTCCTGTGTAGTTCTTAGCACAGGCGTCCAGCTGCCACCAGGTGGTACACTACCAACAGTGCCCACATCTCGGTGCCCCTGGAACTTAAGGTGCCCAGAGTTTCTCTCCATAAATAACTTTCTACAAGGCCCCAAGGGCCCGGGACAGTGCAGATGGTACCTAAGGCATGGCCCATCCTAGGCCTGAGACAGTCTCTCAGCCGGCCTCATTTCTCCCATCTGAGCATATGCAGGGTGCTGAAAGGAAGCATATGCTGCTGCCCCCTGGGGCTGGGCTTTCTCCCATACAGGCTGGGCTGGCTGTTCCCACCCGCCTTGGCTCCCCGCCTCCCAGGAATGTGCTTCTGGGGGCTCCCTGTCCAGGCGCCTGTCTTATCAGCCCCCAAACACTGGGAGACAGACGTCTCTCCTGTTAGCCCTGACCTGACCCTGAGGGGAGGGCAGCCAGGGCCAGCTAAATGCCTGGATGCAGGATACTCCCCTTCCCCAGGCCGGTGTGAAACCTGACCTCCCTCTGCGGGGCCCCTTCACCAGCGGTGGCGCCTGCCCTGGCGGCAGTCAGAGGCCTTGGCTCCCCTTGTGCTGCCTGGGTGGGATCTGCTCTCCCTGGCCTGGAGGCTCCCTCAGTCTGCCCCAGCCCCAACTCTCAGCACTTCTGTCCAACCTCTGCTGCTCTGGGGAGGAACACATCAGATGCATGTTGCCTTCCTTTGGTGCTCCCTGCTGAGCAAAATCCCCTCCATCCACCCGCATCAGGCCCTGGTATGTGTGGGGGACTCCACTCTGCACACCTGGGGCACCCTCCTGTTCTTGGCATCCACCTGAGGCAATCTTCTCGCCTAGTTCTCCCTCCAGTGCCTTTCTGGGCTGGCTCCTGGCCTCACCTGCTTTTGGCCTCCTGGCTGGGCTTGCCTTCTCTCCCTGACCAAGGAAGGTTGCTGCCCAGGCCTAGCTTCTTTTACCCATCCACTGGCATGCCTTTGGCAGCAGGCTCAAGCTAAAAGTGCCATTGACCTAGTGGTACCTGACGCCCCAGGTGGACTGTGGGCCCTGTCCTTTCCCCAGTGCCACGCTGGGAGTTTCTGTGAAGATGTCACAGGTTCTTCAAATTCAATGAGACCAGAACAGGGCTCTAACCCGCCTCCCTCCTCCCAAGTGTTCTCCAACTCTGAAATGGCCACCACCTTTTACCACTTGGCTCAGGCTCCTCTCACAGCCATATTCACCTATGGCAAATCTACCATTCAGCTCTCATTAGACCCCGCCCCCGCCCCAGGGAACAGCCCAAGGCATCTTCGTCCCTTTAAGTTGTCCGCTTGCTCATAGATTCCTCTGGCAGTCTACTGCCCTCAGAGCAGACACACAGATCATCATTTTAAAAAGCTGCAGTATCAAGTATGTAACATAAAATTTGTCCGTACCATTTTTAGGTGTACAGCTCAGTAGTGTTGAGTACCTTCACATTCTTATGCAACCGTCACCACCATCCAGCTCCAGGACTTTCTTTTTCCCAAATTGAAAGAATGCACCCATGAAAGGATAGCTTCCCATTTCCATTCTCATATAAGAGGGAATCTTCCACTATCTGTCTTTGGGGGACTGGCTTATTTCACTTAGCATATTGTCTTCATGGTTCATGTGCATTGGAACACGTGTAAGAGTCCCTCCTGGGTTTTTTGGTTTTTTTTTTTTCTTCCCCCAATCCTGTTAAGGCTGAACTTCTCTTTCTTTCTTTCTTTCTTTCTTTTCCAGTACCGGGGATTGAACTCAGGACCCTACGCTTGCCAGGCAAGAGCTTATCCTACTGCGCTATCTCCCCGGCCCCAAGGCTGAACATTTCATTGTATGGATAACCACATTCTGTTCATTCACCTGCCAGTAGGTCCCTGCCCTTCTCCCCTTCCGTCCAACATGCCAGTGTTCAATAAAAGGTTTCTCTCTTCGAATGAATGGAGTTCTCTCCTCCACCACTGGGCCCTTTGCAGGCTGCCCATTTACTCCAAGCTATCTCACAACCTCAAACCCCATCTGGGGCTCTCAGACCCCATGTTGGGCCTTGGCCCAGTGGGGAGGGGGAGTACTCCTGATAGGGACTGGCACATGAGAGCGTCCGGGGCTTCTGGGCACTGTCCCTAGCTCCTCCCTTGCTATGGGACCGGGGCGGGTTCTCAGAGGGGAGAAAGCCGCGCCCAAGTATCAGCGCGCTGGCAAGTGGACTGCGACCAGGCTCCCCGGGGCCCCGCCCCCTGTGCCCCCTCCCGGACCCTTGCGGTCCTGCAGTTTTCCGGTGTCTCCGCACCCGGCTCAGGTCTTTTCTCCACTACTGCGGTAGTCCTAACCCAGTCCCCTGGATGGCCTCGTGGGTTCTCGCTATTTGTTCCCTTCTAGAAAGAGCAGCTCCTCATTGGCCGCGGTTTCTCCCGCGCCGCCACCGCAGGCACAACAACCGCCACGTGCTCACTAACGGGGCTTGCCAATTGGCCAGCCGTCGCAGCCCGCTCGGCGCTTCCCTGCCCGCCCCCGACTTCCTCCTTTCTCTTCTCATTGGCTTACTGAGCCCAGGGACCCACACCGTAGCCGGGCGCTTCCCCGCCTCAGACGCCTATTGGCCAAAGAAGGGATGGGGGGGGCTTGCAGACCCGGCTCGGAGGTGGGCTTAGTGCTGTCGGTCAGGTCAAGCGTGCAGGTGTAGGTTCAATGGCGTGGCGGGGGCTGGCGGCCGAGTTCCTGCAGGTGCCGCCGGTGACGCGGGCCTATACTGCAGCTTGTATCCTCACCACAACTGCCGTGGTGAGCGGGCCGGGTCGGGGCTACAGCCCCTGATGGGGTACGAGGCATGAGGGAGGGTTACAGTGTGCGTGCTGCGGCCCGCCGCTAACGCGGCTTTGGTTCCACAGCAGCTGGAAATACTCAGCCCCTTCCAGCTCTACTTCAACCCACACCTCGTGTTCAGGAGGCTCCAGGTGAGGCCGCCCGCCCCTCACCCTTTGTATTGCGGCCTCTTGGGTCCCGCACCTGACCGCCTGTCTCCCCAACCCCTGCAGATCTGGAGGCTGGTCACCAACTTCCTCTTCTTCGGGCCCCTGGGATTCAGCTTCTTCTTCAACATGCTCTTCGTGTATCCTGTGCCGCGCGGACCTGGGCGGGACTGGGGAGGGGGGCACTGGGCTGGGGGAGGCCGCAAGCAGGGAAACTGAGGCCCCAGCGGGAAGGCACTTCCTATAACATCGCTGCAGATTCCGCTACTGCCGAATGCTGGAGGAGGGCTCCTTCCGCGGGCGCAAAGCCGACTTCGTCTTTATGTTTCTTTTTGGGGGCGCCCTTATGACAGTATCCTTTTATCTTGTTCATAAAACCTTGGGCCACGGCTCCTCGGGTCCCTGAGGACTGAGATGGGGATTTAGGCTAAGTTGAGCAGCCATTCTGCTCTCAGCTCCAGGGACCAAGGATAGATCTTCAGTGCTATGTGCAGAGTACAACAGGGAAGCGTGCAGGAGAGCCAGGAGGGGTACCTCGGGCCCTGAGCCTTCTATGCTAACAACTTGGACAAACGGATGGGCCAGCAGTGGTTGGAGGCTGGGATGAGGTGGACAGGTGTGCAGGGCAGATCTCACGGGACCTGAAGGCTAAGTGCTGGAGGCGTCACCTGGACGCAGAATGGACCACACAGCAAGGAAAGGGGACCACTGAAGGATGGCAGGGGCTTAGCAAGTTGGGCTGTGGGCACAGCTGAGACCTACACCACGGTGCCTTGACTCCTGCCCAGCTGCTGGGACTCCTGGGCAGCCTGTTCTTCCTCGGTCAGGCACTCATGGCCATGCTGGTGTATGTGTGGAGCCGTCGCAGCCCTCAGGTGAGGGTCAACTTCTTTGGCCTCACCTTCCAGGCACCATTCCTGCCTTGGGCACTCATGGGCTTCTCACTGCTGTTGGGCAACTCAATCCTCGTGGACCTGCTTGGTGAGTCTGGCCATCCTTCCTGCCCACCCCAGGCTGGTCCCTCCCCTCAGGACAGGCTGCTTATGCCCTGGGGCCCTTTCCACCTGCCTGGTCCTCTCTCCTACCTCCCCAGCCCCTTTTCCAGTTCTCCTAGCCCAAGTCCGCTAGCTGGTGCAAACGGGAGCTGACCGCTGATGTTGGACTGGGTCTGTGGGGGGTTTGAATGACAGGCAGGTTCTTTTCCTGGCTCTTGCTCCTGTGTTCCCTCCCCAAGTCCTGTCTGCTTCTGGATTCTTAAGCCTGTCCTTCAGGACCAGCACTGTGGTTATTCCAGGCTGTGTATGGTAGCAGTGTTGTTGTCTTGCAGGGATTGCTGTGGGCCACATCTACTACTTCCTTGAGGACGTTTTCCCCAACCAGCCTGGAGGCAAAAGGCTGCTGCTGACCCCTGGCTTCCTGTGAGTGTGGGAAATGACAATCCCCTTCCCCACAGGTGGCTCCCCATCCTGAGGACCTGTGCTGGCCTCAGCTCAGTGTGGGTCCCTCCTGACAGGAAGCTGCTACTAGACGCTCGTGAGGAGGACCCCAATTACCTGCCCCTTCCCGAGGAACAGCCAGGAGCCCATCTGCCACCCCAGCACTGAGCCTGCCTTGGGCCAGCACCAGAAGCTTCTAGCAGAGTCCATTCTTCTCCCTGCTCCTGCTTACAGCAGACCAATCTGTCCTGAGGCTGGGCCCATGCAAGAGCCCACCCAAATAAAGTCCCCTGCAGCCTCTGGGCCCCCAGCATTGGCTCCCATTTTGGTCACCACACCTTTCATGTCCTTCCTTGTCTGCCCCAATTGCCTTTGCCCAGCCTGCCCTCAGCCCAACTGCAAGTTATCAAGCAGGGTGCCCAGACAGGACAATGAAGCTGCCCATGGATGCCCAGCAGCTCTGAGCTCACAAATGAGACTCGAGAGTTCTTGCTCTAGTCCTGCCACTGCCCCGGGGTACATGTGTCCCTATCCTGGGCCTCTGTTTCCTGTCATTCAAGAAAGGGGTTGATCAGATCTCAGCATCTGGGCCAGAACTCAGAGCCACTCTAGAGATGACCCTGCCTGTGGTGCCCTTGGGTTGATGCCTACTCAGTCTCTCCCATCTTCACCAACAACCTTGACAAGCGAGCCTTTTCTTCATTTCCCAGCTTGTGACGTGGAGGTCCCACAAGGTCGGGGCACAGGAGAGGTGAAACAGGGCCCTCTCAACCCCAGACCTTGAGAAGTTTCACCTTAGCACAGTCCTGTGTCTGGCTAAGGCAGAAAGAACCCTCCAGGGAGCTGTCCCTGCCATTTAAGCTGAGCCTGTGGAGCCACTTCCTCCCTCTCCTCCCCAGAACATGGGCTGCATCTGTGGCCAGCTGTTCTTATTGCTCTAGACCTGTTCCCACTGTGGCTTCTTCCTGGATGCTTAGCGGCACAGGGGCTCCAGCAGCCACATCTCATTTTTATGGTAACAAAAATGTTCTCTGAGTCTGCCTTCTCTTTTGTAGTAAAACCTGGTACAGCAGCAACTTCACTGCAGGCTGGCACTACTTACAGGGCACAGAAGCAGGCAGGAACTGGGCAACATCCTGCCAGCTGCAGCAGGGCTGCTGCCTGCCTCATGGGTCAGGCGAAGCCCTTAGCAACAAAGCCCATTCGTGTCCAAGGCCAACGGGCCTGGAATCCTCCCTGTTGCTTAAGGTCTTTCCAGAAAGCCTGGCTGTCCCTTTGCTGTGGGCCTCTGGAGAGTTCCACTCTGACAGGCAGAGGGCCTGAGAGTATACTCTCCAAGAATAGTCATGGTCTTGGACATGCTCACAGTGGCAGGCTGCCCACAGCCTGGCAACCAAGAGCTACTTAGAACCCCAGCCCTGCCCCACATGGGTGAGGCATGCCTTAAGCTGGAAGCCAGGTCGCAGTGTCCCTGTCACATGCCTCCAGAGGAAGACATCTCTGACCCTCAGCCCTGTCAGCTGCCAAGAATGGCACCAGCCTAGTGGTGGGGGTGTGGAACCACTGTCTTCAATAAGGAGCTGTGTGTCCAGTTTACCCAGCAGTCCGTGGCTCAGTAAAGAGACCCACATGTGCCACCCTCAAGGAGCCTAAGTCCATTTCTTAAAGGCACACACACTTCCACGTTACAAACCAGGACAAGCTCATCAGAAGTGTAACTGGGAAGGAGTTGGGCACTTGGCTTTTTCTCTGCATACTCCCATCAACCTGAAAAGCCAGCAAAGGGCTGTCTTCATTCTTTCCACAACAGCCTTGGGAGGGAGCAGCTGGCCCAGGCCACAGGGGGAGACAGGACCCCTCGACCCAGCAACCTGTTTTGTTTTTCTAATGTATTTAGGCAGGGTCTACAGGTTCTAACTGCACAGATCGGACCTGTAGTGATCCTCCCGTTGTTCATGCTCGAGCAATGGGATTAGAGGCAAGCATGCCGCCATGCCCAGTCTCAGCAGCCCTCGCAGTGCACCCTGGGGGCAGGGCCGGCACAGCAGGGGGGGGCAGGGCCGGCACAGCAGGCAGGGATCGAATGCCTGGCCCTTGCATCTGCCTGAGCAGGTGCTTTAATTCACTGAGCTATCTGGCCAGCCTCATCAACCTGTTTTTTGTGGGTGGCTGGAGCTGGGACAGGCTCTCCCGCATCCAGGCAGTACCCACACAGCAGCAGGCCCTCTACAGGGGACTCCAGGGCAGCAAGGCCCCTGGCAGGTGGTAATTTATCTGAATGGAGCAAGGCATTCCAGGGACAGCATAAGAGCTCCTACGCCTGGGTAAAGAGACAGAAAAGGCTGTACTGAAACGCAGGGAGACTTCTGCCCTGAAGTCTCCTGGCCACTTCCTTTCTCCTCTGCAAGCACTTGCTAGGACAGGTGGCCAGCTGGAAGGCCCAAGGAAACCAAGGACCGGCTCTGCCTCAGGCCCTGAGGGTGCTGGGGCAGCTAAGTAGAACCTCTTCATCACTGACCCATCTGGGTAGAGGCAGAAAGGAGTGAGGCTTGGTGTACCAACCTTGGCTGCACCATCCCCAGCTAGATGTAGCTCAGGACTACTCCTGAACTCTCCCACTGTCCCCTTCCCCAGTTCTGGGGAACAAACCCAGGGACACTCCCACTGAGCTACATCCCCAAGTCATTTTTTATTTTGGCACAGGGTTCTGCTGTGCCTCGCCTCAAACTTTTGACTCTGCTTCAGTTTCCTCCATAGCTGGGGTTATACAGGTGTGTGCCACTCTCCCTCTGTTTCTATGCCACCATACCCAACAAGCTGAGCATGGCCTGTTGCTTTTTATTTAAAAAGTACTGCTAGCCCTGACTCGGGCTCCTATACAAAAACAAAATCCAACCCAACTGAGGCCTTTCCCTGACCTCAAGCACTTGGGGAGGGTGCCAGGAGAAGGGAGCAGGACTGGGGCTCAGCAAGCGGAATGCACCGTGGGGAAGGGTGGCCTGGAGTGCCTGAGATTCCCCACCCCTCCCCAACTCCTCAATGGCACCGAGCTGTCGTCCCCTTGCCTCATTCCTTGTCAGAAGAGGAAGGAGAGGAGTCCTCCAATCTTCCAGATGCTCCATGACAGATGAGCACCGACGGGCTGGTCACCAGGCCGGAGCGGTGTTGGCGAGGCGCCTCATCCGCCTGGAGGAAGGGAAGAGGGGCAGAGAGTCAGCCAGGTGTCTCCTGTAGCCCCCTGTGCAGCAGGACCCCAGCCCACTAGCCTCGCCTGTCTGCTGTGCAGGACCTGCCCATCTCTCCAGGAACCTTGCCACCTACTCTGGGCTATGGTCAGACAGGACCTCAAGACCTGTTCTTTTTCTCTGTAGGGAAACCTACCCTGCATTATTATCCAGCAGCCTCCCTTTAGCAATGAAGGCTCTTCCCCGAGCCCACTGTCACTGGGGAAAAGAGGGCCTTGCTCCTGCCTGGGAAGACAGGTGCCTGTGGGCAGAGCCTGGACACAGGACAGGGTACCTTGTATTTCTGTCCTGGTCTCGTATCTTCTTCTCCATCTCAGCATCGGTTAGGGTCTCCAGCAGTGGGCACCACTGGTCAGCGTCGCCGGTGTTCCGGATGGCAATCTCCACTGTGGGCAGGGGGTTCTCACTGGGGAAAGGAGGCAGGGAGAGAACAATGGCCAGTCCACAGAGCAGCAGATGTGAAGTCCCCAGAACCCCCACCTAGCAGATGGGCAGGGCATGGTGGAAAGGGCCAGGGGCAGCTGGGGATGTTCCTGTCACCTGAGTCTCAAGGGAGCTGCCAGAGATCAGGACCCACCCCCCTCAGTGCTGCTCAGGACCCCATGGCCTCCCTTCAAAGCAACTCAACAAGCCTTTTGTTTGCTGCCTGTCTGGGAGGTAGGGTAGATGGGGGTCGGCACTGGTTATGAGGTAGTTTCCCTGACAGAACAGTTGCTGGACCAGGCTACTGTCACTGCAGCATAGCCAGGAGGCAGAGGCCTCTCTGCCCTAGTCAGTGTCCAGAGCAGGGACCTACCAAGACCTACTGATTGAGATAGCATCATGGGGGTTGGGGAGATGGCTCAGTGGAATAAGTGCTTGCCTGGCAAGTGCAAGGGCCTAAGTTCAATCCCCGATTCCACAAAAAAAAAAAAAAAAAAAAAAAGAGGAGATAGCATCAAGGGAGGGAAAGACTGGAATCTGTCCTACAGATCTCGATGACCCTCAGGCTACTTCATGGGGTCCCCACTGAACCCCACAGAAGTTGGCCTATTTGCCCTGGATCAGACAGCTGGTATGTAGACAGAAAAAGATGCCCTACTGCAGTCCTTCAGACCGCCCATGTCTACTCCAAGGAGCCATCCTAGACCTGTGGCCACATGGAAAGAGCAGTGGGAGTGAGCCAGCATGGACAAAGGCTAGGAGGGCACAGGGGATGCACCCAGGAATGCTGGGTGGGGTGTGGCCCAGACCTCTCTGGGTCATGATTTTCTTCTGCGACAGAAAGCTAATGAGGTTCCCATATGATGCACTAAACTCGGGGCCTGACAGAAAGCCTCAGTCCAGCACCCTAACCATGATCCTATCCTTCTGTCCCACTGTTACCACTCTAGCCTTCCATGGTCCTTTTCTCCTCCAGCTAGGCAGGCTTCTTGTCTCCTAGGACTTAGTCCCCAGACAGCCTCCTGGCTCTATCAGAATGTGCCATATGCTGCCTGCCACCTTGTAGCACCTCAGTGCTGAGGGGGCAGACAAGGTCTCAAGAGAGGTACATGGGGTAAAAGAGGTTACATCTCAGGCTGGGTTTCCTGGGATTATTTATTGCCATCAGGTGTTCTTAGAGAATTGTTCATTTTTTAAAACAATTAATGTTTTTGTGACACAAGATCAAACCCAGGGCCCCCACATGCTAGATTAGTATCATGGGAGCCAAAGCCCATGTATTGAAGAAGCTTGCTAGGAGCCATAAACCTTTTACACAGCCTCCCTCGGATTATGGGACTGGCTGGTGCAAGAGAAATGTCCTAGGTTAGACAACAGAGCCTTACTCACTGCACCGCACATGCCCCGCATGGCATCTAAGTCAGACTGAACATGTTCTCTTCAGCCTTCAGGTCTCGGGGTCCTGAGCCCTGACCAAGGTTGGGGTGCAGGGTACAGCTGACACCGAAGACCAGTGCTCCCTGGCTTCCTGATGGAGCAGGCCTGACCTCCTGCTGCTGAGCCTCAGACCACCACATCCACTCCCACAAGCCAGGAGGCCGCGAAGCCCAAACCTATGCTGGTGACTCAGAGGCCAAGGAGCGGGCAGCTCCCACCCCCATGGTCCCTTAGGGATGACTCTTCCTCAGCAGCTTGGTTTGGCAATCCAGGAAGGGCCCAGCCACAGACCCCAAGCCCACGTGGAGGGAAGCAAAACATGTTTTCCTCTGAGTTTAAACAGGAGCCAGCAAGCAGGCCTGGAGGCCCCTTTGTTTACCTCCCTTTGACTCTGGGAAGATTCCACTCCAGTGGGTTTGTTCTAAAATAAGAACTGCTTAAGCCAACTATGTAAGGACAGGCCAGGAACCAACACTAGCCTGTGCCTGCCTCAGGTCTGGGAGGACATGTAGACAGGCACTGACCTGAGTCCAAGAAGTCTGGTAGCCATGGAGACCAGTGTGCTTCCACTCTGAGAGAACTGTGGCTCATGGGCTTGGAGGCTATCAGAGACCCCAGGCACTCCTACCATCCTAAAATGTCAAGATACCCTGACAGGAGGGTCCTGCCTGATATGACAGTGGGACTGATGTCTGTGTAGTAGCTTCAGATTTGTTTTCAATGTGATCTTATTTTTATGACATCACATAACAGGCAAGTTGAAAAGCATTATTAGCCCCACTCTAATAATGGCCTCCCCAAGGCTATTCTACATCACCCTTGTATCTGCAGTCAACACCTCCCAGGCCTCTAGGAGCAACCCATTTTCCACAAGAAAGCCTCATCCACTCGTTGGAGAAAGTATAATTTTTCAACATAATACTGAGACAACAAGAGCTTGGATTAAGCGATGATTTATCAGACCTGACACTAAAAGTAACGGCAATAAATTAAAAAATAAACTGGACTAAACTAAAATAAAACCTCTGTGCTACAAAGGACACTGTAGAAAGTGAAATGGTGCCAGTGCGAAGGCACACTCCTGTCATTCCAGCTTTTTTTTCTTTTTTTGTATTTTAGGGAAGGATCTACAGGGTGTTCAGGTTCTCACTACTAGATCAGACTCGTAGTGATCCGCCTGTTTACAGCCTTCCAAAAGCTGGGATTACAGGTGTGCACCACCATGGGCCCAGTCTCAGTTGCTGTCTCTGTGTGCAGGAGGGGCAGGGCCGGCACAGCAGGCCCAGGGATTGAACCCCCCGCCCTGGCCCCTGGCCCCTGCCCCTGCTCACAGGCACTTTAATCTGCTGAGCTATTTGGCCGGCTCCCATCCCAGCTCTTTAAGGAACTGAGGCAAAAGGACTGAGAGTTCAAGGTCATCCTAACAAGTTAGAGAAACACTGTCACAAAAGAAAACATGGGCTGGGGACCAGTGGTGAGGCATGTGCCAGGGATGCACAAAGCCCCAAGATTAATCACCAGTACTACCAAGAAGAAAAGCAAAACAAAAAGCCCTCATCATCAGTATTAGGAAAATACAACTCCAAATTACAATTATCTATTAGGATGACTGCAATCAAAGAGATAGATAATAAGAAGTGTTGGATGGGACTTAAGAGAAACTAGAACCTTGCCACTGCTGGATGAATATAAAATGCAGCCAGCCACTTCGGACAACAGTCTGGCAAACCTTCACAGCACTAAAGTTACCACACGATCTAGCAGTTCTACTCCAATTGTAGGTATAAATCCCCCCCCTTCCCCCCACCCCCCGAACTGGGGATTGAACTCAGATTGCCAGGCAAGCGCTTATTCTTCTGAGCTATCTCCCCAGCCCCAGAATAAATCCTAGAGAAGTAAAAACAGCTAAACAAAAAAATTACAAACAGCTAAAAAGCAGAAAGGACTCAAAAGTCAATCAACTGATGAATCGATGAATAAAATGCGGTATATCCACACAATGAAATACCATGTAGCCATGAAAACAAATGAGGTTTTATGTTCTACAACATGAGTGATCACTGAAAACATTACGTTAAGAACTTAGCCAGTCAGGCTGGTGAGATGGCTCAGTGGTCTAAAGCACCTACTTAGAATAAGCTTAGCAAAGCACAGGGACTGCGGTTCAATCCCCCAGCACCACATGCCAGCCAGCCCCGCCCCCTGGTGGGCTGAGCTGGCCACACACACACACACACACACACACACACACACATAAATTTAAAAAAAAAAAAAAGAAAGAACTTAGCCAGTCATAAAAGACCACACTGCATAAGACTCTATTCATTTTATGGGACCAGAACTGATAAATACTGACAGAAAGCAGTGTTTGCCTAGAGCCAGGAGATTTGTGGGTGAGGAGCGCAACTGCTAAGGAGGGGTGGGTCTTCCTTTCAGGGGGTGTTTTAACATTGATCCTGGAGATAGTCACACAGCTTCTGAACATGTATTAAAAATCATTTGCTTGTGCACTTTAAATGGGTGAGTCATATGGTATGTGAACTATAATCTCAATAAGGTTACTATGAAAACAAACAAAAGCTTCAGTAATGACATGAAGGCAGGGCCCCAAGTGCACAGCAAGACAACAGACTCCCAGGAAAGAGCGACCAGTTAGCAGGACCCTGGTCTCTCATCACAGTTCCATTTCCCTAGACTATGATTTTTATTTTTATGTTTTTTCAAAATTAATTCTATTGATACATTTGAGATAGACTATGACTATTAGAAGGTGCCAATCCCCAACCCAAAAATCCTCATCCTGTCCTAGCCAGGCCTCAACTGTGGGAAGCATCCCAGGTAGGATATGACACATGGAATGTCCTTCCTGTCAGGCCTGGAAGACAGAAGCAGTCCTCCCTGATGCCTAAAGAGGTGCTTAACATACCTACCAGACCCCCAGGCAGACCACAGTGGAAGGGATGTGCGTTTGCCCAGGCCTCTATCAGGGTGGCACTCTCTTTAATCCCAAGGATTTGAAACCTACACATACAGCACTAGAAATGACAGTATGACAGGTCTAGAATATAGTACGTAGTCACCAAGATATAGGAGGGATTTGTCTGAGTCCTGACCTGCCACTACCACTCTGAGAACTACAGATAGCTAAGAGCTGAGCAAGGAGCTGAGACTGATGGGTCTGGTCACCTGGAGTTCAAGGAGGAGGGACACTGCTGCACACTGGTGACCAAGTGGAAGGATCATGGGAAAGGATGCCAAGAGGCCCCGTCTTGAGACCCTGAAGCATTAACTCCAGAGTTCTGGCCATGGCCTTGGTGGCTGCCACACACCCGGTAGAAGTTAACACCTCAATGTCTGGCTCCTGGAAGCAAGAGGCCTACATCTGTGAGTCTAGAAAGAGGTTTCCAACTCAATGGGTATTTGGGGTAGAGGTTCCCAGTGTTGATGTCATTGCTAAGGACCTGCAAAACCTCACCGCCCCAGAGGATGCAAGTCAACTCGGAGGAGAGAGGCCACTCTAGGGTGGCTCTTGGGCTGTGAGGTTTGACTCTGTGCAGAATAAGTGGACCTCACAACTGTATTCACAGGCAGGGCTCCACCAGGAATGCAGAGGCCAGGGCTGAACGCCAGGTCTGGGAGGCACAACCACTGGCCCACAGGGCTACCGGGGGAGTCCTAGCAGGTGACTGACATGCTCTCTCAGCACAGCAGCTGCTCGGGCCAAGGGGCTCAGCTGTTTCCCAGGCCTAGGGACTTGTTCCCTGTGGGTATGCCTCATTCCTTCTCCCTTGCTCAGATTTATGGGAAGCTGTAGGGAAGCTGCCTCGTGGGCTGTCTGGGAAAACAAGCTGAGACACAAACCTACTAACAAGCTCCATGAATTGTCATGCCTTTGTCTTCCTGTAGCATTTCAGGCTGTCCTCCCACCCAAAAATGTGGATGATGACAGTCTGAAGGACATGCTCCTAACACCCTGTTGTGATCCAACAGATACTTGGCAGTGCCCTCAATCTGCCATGCCATCCTAACAGAAAAGGTGCTCAGAAGGCAGGGTCAGAAACGATTGGGCTTCCCCTTCCTGCGGGCCTGAGGATGTGGACAAGCTGACTCTCATTTCAGACTCCCCTAGTACAGAGGCCACTGCCCTGGAGGGTTCCTCTTTTGGGGAGAGTGAACGTGGGAGCAGAACTGAAGCGCAGCCAGCCTGCTGTTGCAGGAGGGATCAGGACGACCTGTCTCCTCCTCTTCCACAGCACCACTATGGTCCACGCTCATACACACTCACCAGATGTCCTCTGAAAAAACAAAATCAGAGACATCTGGAACAAAAGAGCTGACAGGGGCTCCTTGTTACTCATAAGCTGGGGAGGGCCTTTAAGAGAGGACAGAGCCAGGGTGAAGTGGTGGCCCCAACGGGAGGAACAGTCCAGGCAGGATTGTGCAGAGAGGAGACTAAGCACCTTGGGATGGGGTGGGGGTTGCTATGTGGAAGATGGAGGGGGAGAGGGCCTGAGGGGCCTTAGGAGCACTTGGGACCTGGGGACCGTGAGGTAAAGACCCCAGGCTCACACTAACAGAATACTGAGTCTTTCCTGGGCAGGCCATTAACTGCTCCCAGTCCACCACCTCTTTAGCTCCAGTCCTGGCTGTGATAAGAAGCCCTGCTGAGACACGAGGCAGGAGAACAGTGACCTGCACCATGGCCAGGTCACTGTGAAGCTCCAGAAAGTCAAAACACTGCCTGTAATCACAGACTTGGGAGGTTGAGGCAGGAGGATCACAGTGAGTTTGAGGCCAGATTGACCTACTTATCGAGACCCTGTCTCAAAAAAAAAAAAAAAGCTTGCAAGCCATCAGAGTGAGAAGTCTTTTCCCTAAAGTGAGTGGTTTGGTAGAGGAATGAGGAAGGCAGACACACGCACCACCTACCTAAAGGCATAGGTCTTCTGATGCCAGCTCAGTTGTCCCCGGATGCTGTATGCGATGGTGGTGACAAATTCCCCGCCCAGCCCCAGCTCTGAGCACAGCTTCAGGGCAAACTTCTCTGGTGAGTTCTCCTTCTCCGACATGTCCCACTCAAACTGGTCCACCAGGGAGATGTTTCCCACATGGATGTTCAGCTGCAGCGAGAACCAGGCCACACGTGAGAGCAGGCAGGACCATCCTCAGCCCACAAGGTCATCAGGATGTGAGGATGGCCCACAGCCACAAGCAAGGAACGAGGGCTGGCCCTTGTCCGTCGAGTTCTGCAACTGCAAATCAGAGTGGACCTCACAGACCCCTGCTGTGAGGGGCTCTGGCTCACAGCCAGCTAGCTGCCACAGAGCAAGCCCTAAAGTGGCTCTATAGGGACTGTACCTCACCTCTATTCCCATTACCCTCACTCTCCATGTTTCATGGCACCCTCTTTTCTGCCCTCACTCCTAAGTCAACTTTTAGATGACTATGTTGGCCGGGCAGGGTTCGGCTCATGTCCCAGAACCTGCCTTAAGCAATCCTCTTTGCTTTACAGAGCTTGGCCCTCCAGGCCAAGCCATCATGCCAAGTGTGTTCACTGGTACCTGTACACCCAGCCCTGGGCGGCAGGCAACCCAAGGAGGCGCAGAAGCACTGACAGGCTGTTCCCACACCCTCTAGCAGATCCCTCCTGGCAGGTGACATACAGCCAAAGGAGCCCAGGTCCTAGACTGGCAGCTGGGGAGTTTTCACAAGTGGACAACATCCAGGTCCAGAGAGAGACAGCCTGTACCCCAGAAGCTCCTACCTTTGCCTGCTCTAGCAACTCAGCCTTGGATTAGTTATGCCTGTTCTGAAACTGGGCATCCCTGGATGATAAAGTGTGGACCCTTGGGGTCCGGCTTGCTCCCTCACCACTATGCCACCCCAAGGCACTGCAGGTTGGGACCTCCGTCACAGCTGTTCACTGTTCTGCTGGGTAAGCAAGTCCCAGTAAACCTGCTCATTCACTACTGTCCCTTGTTTTTTTGGAAGGAGGCATTAGGGATTGGACCCTGGGTCTCACACATTAGGCAAGCACTCTAACACTGAGATACATCCTGTCCTTAAATTTTTATTTTCAGACAGGATCTTGCTAAGATATCTAGTTTGTCCTCAAATTTGTGATCATCTTGCCTCAGCCTCGCAAGGACCTGGAATTACAGGCCTGCATCTCTGGCTCACCCTTGGTTTTCATGACATGAATCAGAGTGGGCAGAGGTGTGGTGAGCTGTTTTAAGAGCCAGCTCTGGCTAAGCCCACCTGGAAACTTTTACCTCATTTTTGGGAAGAAAAAGAGAGGAAGAAAAAGAGAGAACCCCCTACCCACTGTCTTTGCAGAGCTACTCCTCCAGCCATTTAATTAATTAATAACTAATCAATATTTGTATCTTGAGATGGGGTCTTGCCAAGTTCTCCAGCTGGGCCTGAACTTGCCATCTTCCTGGTCTTCCTGCTCAGCCTCTCAAAGTGTTGGGATTTCAGGGGTGCACCACCATGCTTGCTCGGCTAGAATCAGCCTCTTCTTAGTACTCCAACCTCAATTAAAAAGCTGGCTCAGAAGTTCTTCACCCCCCTCCTGTCTCTCTGTACACTTTCCTGTTTCTACATAGCACTTAGGACTTGCTGAGCTCATTTTAGTCATCCACCGACTAGTTTTCCATTTCCATCATCTCCTGAGAACCAGGAAGCCCAGCGTGGGTTCCAGGGCACTTATTCTGAAAATGAATAAATCCTGCGACACCACTGGCAAGCAGAGGAAGGAAGCTAAAGTGGGAGCTGCAGTATCCTCCACATGGCCAGGGCAAGGCGGTGTGAGCTGCAGCCCATCCATGAGCCCCGCAGGCCTTTGTGCCTCTCCCCTTCCCCCATACCCACAACCAGTGGAGATTTCTGGGATACAACTAGAGTTGCCTCTTCTCACTAGGAAGCAAGTACAGAGTTAAACCACATGAACATTGGGCCGCCGAGAAATGTGCAGCAGCAGCTGACTGCTGGAAACACAGCAGGGAGGACCCAGCCAGACCCTGGTGTGCACTGTCTACACCCACCAGATCGCCTGCCCTGCTTTGAGAACTATGCTGCCCACCTGCCCTCTGGTCACTAGTAAATTCACTTATTCAAAAGTGTAGACTCCCAGGGAGAGGCACAGGGGACACAAGCTCTCAAAACATCACCCTTGTAGATCAGAGAGAGAGACACTGTACAAGTGAGATGAGTGAACACACAGTGTGTCAGCGTTAAGTGTGAGACTGTGAGGGACATGAGGAAGGAGCAAAGTAAAAGCAAACAGATTATATGAAGATGGGAAGAGGGGATCTGGAGATGGGGGGAGGGGACGGAAGGGAGGGGAAGTAAAAAGGGTCCAGTGTGGTATGTACTACTTCCCCTATGATTGGATTTGTTATGTATCATAAACAGAAGACTAACAAAAAGGGGGAGTGAAAGAAGGGTTAGAAGCCCAGTCAGCCTCTACAGTCAAGGGCTAGGAGGGGGCCTGCCCCTTAGCTCAGTTCTTTAAGTGGCTGCTTCAACAAAGCAGTCAGGCTCAGGTTGCTGTGGTTCGATCCCCACAACACAAGACAGCCAGTCATGCCTTGAAGGCATTCGGCGCAAAAAAAAAAAAAAAAAAAACACTTCATTTTGGGGGCCTGGCCCTAGCTCAGGCCTTTAAGTGGCTGCTTCCACAAAGCTGTCAGCCTCAGGTTGCTGGAGTTCGAACCTCACACCTCTCCAGCTGGCCAAAAGTGCCCTGAAGGCATTCGAGGAACAAAAAAAAAAAAAAAAAAAAACAAAAAACAAAAAACAAACTTTATTCCATTTTAAAAAAACAAACAAACAAACAAACAACAAAAAAAAAGGGCTAGGAAATCCTCCCAAGAAAGATGGCCTTCTGGGAAGAAATAGGATGAAATCAGAGAGCAGGCCTGTGACTCCCTAGGGCAGGTGCTCCTACATGCAGACACAGCAATACAGAGGCCGACATGGAGGGTCTGAGAAGGCCTAGAAGGCCCTGGCTTCCACACAGGGTGCTGGGCAGAAAGGACACTGCCACCGGTAGAGTGTGAGAAGCAACTGGACCATCATAAGCTGGGCCAGGAGGCCTCCCAAGTAGGCATGAGGCAGGTCTGGCTCCTGCTATCCACTCCAAATCCCCTGGAAGCGAATGGAGCTAACCCTGGCCAGGTATCCTGGTAGCAATGGTCAGCCCTGGTCTTTGGTGCTGATACTGCCAAGAATATCTGAAAAAGACACTGGGTGGGGCACTGCTACAAAGATTCCTCTCCTCTATCCTCTGTATCCCAGAACAAGGCAATGAAGAATGTTCTTACACACATACCCAACTCTTCTTCTGAGTTCTAGACAAGGAGAGAACCTTCAGTTGTTAACCTGCAATGGGTCATGCTGCTCACAAGGGCCCTGGCCTGATGAACACAGCACCACCATCCTATGCAGCGCAGGCTTGCTTAGGCAGGCTGTATCCACTCCACCCCAGGGCATGCAGTCAGTCCCTAGACCCTAGCCTAGGGACCTTTCACAACAGCTTACAGCCCACCCCACCTCCCAGGTGGGGATTATAGGCAATCAGAAGGTCAATTAGAAAGCCTCCACTCAGGAGACCAGGTGGTGGTGGCCCTGGAGGGTTTGCAGCTACTGGACAACTTTATGTAAGGCAGACTCCTGAGTCTTGTCAAGATAACACGAAGTCACTTCGTCAGGGAAGTGAGCAGGATATGGAGAACCCTACACAGGACTGACCCAACCATCTAGAGCCATGTGGTTGAGGAGGGCTGATCCTACAGGCTGATCCTGTCAAAATCACCAAGGGTTTTGACAAAGATGTGGCACAGAGCAGAGATCTCCAGTGCTTTTCTCTGCAGCCAGCAGGCTGCACTTGGAGACACAGGCAAAGCAACATACACTGTAGCCCCAACACCCCTATTTTTTTTTTTTTTTATTTTAGGGAAGGGTCCACAGGGTGTTTAGGGTCTCACTACTAGTGATCTGACTGTTTACAACCTCCCAAGAGCTGGGATTACAGGCATGTGTCACCACATCCAGTCTCAATTGCCATCTCAGTGCACCCCAGGGGCCACCACAGCAGGCCTGGGGAGTGAACCCCAGCCCCTGCACCTGCTTGCAGGTGATTTAATCCACTGAGCTATTGGCCAGTCCAACACCCCCATTTCTCTCTCACCATGTCCCTTTCCTTCTAAATTATGCCCCTGCCTATATGGCTGGCCATAATGTGAAACTAAAATAATCTAAAGTAAACGAATTTATATTTCTCTCAAAAGCAAAGTATTAATGAATAAGGAAATGACTGAATAAGACATCAAAAAAGCCTGGCATGATGGCATACATCTGTAATCCTAGTACTCGAGAAGCTGAAGCAGGAGGGACTACAGTCTCAACTACATAGCGAGACCCTGTCTCAACAAAACAACAACAACAACAACAAAAAAGAGGGGCCAGCGAGATAGCTCAGTGGACTAAAGCACCTTCTTAGGCAAGCTTAACAAGCACAGCAGCTCCATCCCAGGTACATGCCATGCCAGCCCGCCTCCAGGGCAGGCTGAGAGGGCCAGAGTCTGCGTGTAGTGGCGCAGGCCCATAATCTCAGCACTGGGGAGGCTGAAAATAGGAGGAGCACCAAGAGTCCGAACTGCATAGTGAGACCTTGTAACAGCCAAATACATCTAAAAAAAGAAAAAGAAAAATTCTCCTAAGGAAAGTCCTAGATCTATGTGGTAGCTTCACTGGTGAAATCTACCAAACATTTAAAGAACTAACACCAATTCTTCTCAAACTCTTCTAAAAAACTGAAGAGGGGAGAACATTTTGCATCTCACTACCCTGATACTAAGGTGGACCCTTCAAGAAAGGAAAGTCAGAGCTGGTTATGGTGGCCTACACCTGTTGTAAGGCCAGCCTTGTGGGAGGCTAAGGCAGAAAGAGTGCAGAGGGCAAGACTAAGCCCAGCTTGGGCGGTTTAGTGAGACTGTCTCAAACAACAACAAAAGGAGGACGGATTACCCTGGAATATAGCTCAGTCCCAAGGCTTAGAGATTCTCAAGGCTTTAAATTCTCAATAAAATACAGACACATGAACACACACACGCAAAGAAAAGGAAAATCAGACTAGTATCTCTTATGAACACTGACTCAAAAATTCTCAATAAGATATTACCAAATTGCAATCAGTAGTATATTAAAAAGATTTCACATCACAACATAACTCAACACTCTTTCATGATAAAAACACTCAATAAACTGGTAACAGGAGAAAACTACCTCAATATAATAAAAGCCATACGCTGAGCTAATATCTTACATAAGTGGTAAAAAACTGAAAATTTTTCTCTCAGATAACTGCTCTCTCTTTTTTTTATACTGGAAATCGAACTCAGGACCTTGAACTCACCAGGCTTGTGGCACTGAGCTAAATCTCTAGCCTTATGATAACTGCTTTCACCACTTCTGTTTGACATACTTTATTCTAGCCAAAGTACGGAGGCAAATAACCAAGTAAGTAAAATACATCCAACTGAGATCAAAGAAGTAATTTCTGTTTATATACATTATCTAGTTTATGGAAAACCTTAAAGATTTCACCAAAAAAGATTAATGAACACATTTTTTTTTTTTTTTTTTTTGGCAGAACCGGGGATTGAACTCAGGCCTTCGCGCTTGCCAAGAAGCGCTTATTCTACTGAGCCATCTCCCCAGCCCCAATGAATACATTCAGCAAAATAGCAAGGACATAAAATCAACACACAAACACAAGTTGAGTTTACACACTAACAATAAACAATCTGTAAAGGAAATTAGGAAAATAATTTCATCTAAAAACATTAGAAAAAAGAAAAAAAAGTATTAGCTGAATGAAGTGGTTAACACTTGTAATTCCAGCACTGTCTCAACACTACACACACACACACACACACACACACACACAAACACATAAATTCATATGAAGAGAGAGTAGACATGTAAAAAGAATAAGTCATTATATATATATATATATATATATGTATAATTCCTCATGATGAATGTAATCATTATGTACTGCACATGTACTAACAAAAAAAAATCATTTAGCATTTAAGGGACCCTGAACAGCCAAAGCAATATTAAAAAAGATGGGTACCAGAAAACTCACAATTCCTAATTTCAACATTTGCTGTGAAGCTACGATAATCAAAGCAATGTGCTGCTGAGATACAGACGTAAGACCAATGGATGAGAACAGACAGTCCAGAAATAAACCCTCACATATATGGTCAAATAATGTTTGACAAGTGTGCCAAGAACATTCTCCGGGAAAAGGACAGTATTTTCAACAAATGATACTGGGAAAACTTATATATACACAAAAGAATGAAACTGGACTCTTAGCTAATAGCATATACAAAAATTAAATCAGAACAGATGAAGAAAAAAAAAAAAAAAAAAGAACAGATGAAGAGGCACTGCAGATGTACTGGAGTGGTACTGCACATGCCCAGCATGCGCAAAGCCCTGATCAGTCCTCAGCACTGAAATAAACAAAACAACTCAAGATGAAAAACGTACACTTAGGATCTAATACTACACACTTTTGGCAAAAAACAAGGAAAAATCTTCATGACATTGGATTTGGAAATGTTTCTTGAAGATGCCATCAAAAGTACAAGCTACACATGAAAAAGAAACATTAGATGCCATCAAAATTAAACTTTGGGGGCAGGGGTTGCAGCTCAGTCGTACAGCACTGGTCTAGCATGCATAAATCTCTAGGTTCACTCCTAGCACCGAAAAGAAAACACCTTTTGAGTAGAAGGAACACTAACAAAACTGAAACTCAAAGAATGAGAATATACTACCAAATTACATGACTGATACCCAAACAAAATTTGTAAACCTCAACAATAAAACCAAAATCCCAATTCAAAAATAGGCTGAAGATCTGAATAGACATTTCTCCAAAGACAAACGAATAGCAGCCAATAAGCATAAGACAAGGTAGGATCATACTCAGTAGGACAATGCAAATAAAAATCACAGTGAGATCCTACTTCATACCCTTTACATGGCCATTTAATTAATTACTGGCTGGCCCTGAATTCACTTACATAGCCCAGGCTGGCGCTGAACTCACAGCAGCCTTCCTGCCTGAGCCGCCCAAATACTGTGACTACAGGCCTGTGCCACCATGCATAGCTAGAGTGGCCATTATTTTTTTTTTAAAAAAGAGCCAAATCCTTGCCTATAATCTCCGCACTCTGAGGCACGAGAATCTCGAATTTTAGCCCAGCCTGGGCAACTTAGCAATTTAGGGAGACTAGTATCAAACCAAAAAATGAAAAACAGGGCTGGCGATGTGGCTCAGAGTGAAGACCCTAGATTCAATCTCCAGTACTGAGGAGGGAAAAAGGACAAATAACAAGTTTGGTGAATATGGTAAAAGATTAAAATCTTATACAGTGCTGCTGTGAAAAAGTTTGGTGGTTACCTACAAGGTTAAAAAAAAAACCCAAAAAATAAAAAGAATGACCGTAGGATCCACCAATTCTATTTGTGGAAATATATCTCAGAGAACTAAAAATAGGAACAGACATTGGCACATCCATGTTTACAGCAGTATTGTTCACAACAGCTTAAAAAAAAAAAAACAACAGAAGAAACTCCAGTGCACATTGATAGATGATTGGACAAATACATGTGTTACATGCATGTAACAGAATATTCAGTCCTAAACACTCCTGGATGGGCCCAGCCCACTGGAAGACTGCAGAGGTGCTGCCTGCCCTACTGGGTGCTTCACTGCTCTGCCCACCAAGCCGCCTTTACCTCCACCGCACTACTTGGGCCTTGCTCAGCACCTGGCCATACTACAGCAACAATCCCTGAGTCTCCCTAGGATGTGCCACCTTAACCCTAGAGATCTACCTCTCCTCCCTTCCTCCAGGCAGAGCCAGATGCTGCCCGGACAAGGCTTTTCCAAAAGCCCTGATCCACAGCACAGGATCCAACAACAGGCTTCTGCCAAGGCCTCCATGTGCCCTCAGTTCTCCACAAGACACTTCCCTCTAGCTCAAGGCCAGAAGCCACTTACTTTGATGATAACACGCTGGTCAGACTGATCCTCCAAGATGCTGTCTGTAGGATAGGACTCAATCTGCTGTCTGATGGCAGAGGCAATGGCTGGTACAAAGGTCAGTGGGTTCAAATCCAAGTCATCGCAGAGGATTTCTGAAAACATCTCAGGAGTCATCAGCTTCTCTGAAATCAGGAGAGAGGCAAAGCATCACAACAGACTGCAAGGCGTCATCTCCTCGTGCTCAGGCCTGGCTTGGTTCTCTCTTTTCCTCACATCTCAAGCCTCCCACATGCAGATGTGGATGACTGCAGAATTGATCAGGGCCCTTCTGGGAACTGAGAGTGCAGGAGGCGGCACATGACAGTTATTCCTCCTTTTGGCCCTCATTTTGTAAATACCTCTTCTTCCATGACCTTGGGATTTCTCCTAGTGAAAACGTCTTTTTTTAGTGGCACTGGGGACCAAACTCGGGATCTTGTGCTTGCTAAGCAGTAGATAACATCTTATAAAACCAAGTATCATCTCACAACCAGAAACCTGGCAAAGTAGAGATCCAGCACATTTCCATCACCACCAGGATCACTGACGTCCTTTTGTAGTTAACTTACTTTCCTCCCACTCTTTCCCCTTCTACACACCTGGCAACAACTAATTCCCATTTGTATAATTTTATCACTTCACAAATATCATACAAACAGAACCATACACTAGGTAGCTTTGGGGAATTACCCTTCCTCACTGAGCAAAATTTTCCAGAGATTTATCCAAGCTCTTACTTCCTTTTTATTGACAAGCATTCCACAATATTCAGGGACCACATTTTGTTTAACTATTCACCCAATGGAAACTAGGCGGTTTCCAGTCTCCGGCTAGTGAAGAAGCTACCATAAACATCAGTGTGCAGGCTTTAGTATAAAAAGAAGTCTTCATTTCTCTGAGATACATGCCCAAAAGAACAACTGCTGGGTCATACAGCTGTTGCACTTTTGGTCTTTGAAACTACCAAACTGTTTTCCGGAGCAGTTGAACCATTTACTTTTCCACCAGCAGTGCATTATGAGTGACCCAGCTCTTCCACAACCTCACCAGAATTTGGTGTTGTCTCTACTTTTTATAGCTGTGGAGTGACACGTAGTTTTAATTTACATTTCCCTAACAGCTTACAAGCTGGAACATGTTTCCAATGGGTTTGCCACCTGTTTTCTTTTCTTTTTTTCAAAATTAATTAATTAATTTAGTGTGTGTGTGTGTGGGTGTGTGGCCAGCTCAGCCCACCAGGGGGCGGGCTGGCTGGCATGTGGTGCTGGGGATTGAACCGTGGTCCCTGTGCTTTTGCTTAGCTTAGCTTGTTCTAAGTAGGTGCTTTAGAGCACTGAGCCATCTCACCAGCCCCTGCCACCTGTTTTCTTTAGTGAAATTTCTTCATGTCTTTTGCACATGTCCTGATTGAAATTTACTTTACTGATGAATTTCAAATGATGGATTCCTATCCTTTTTCAGATAGATGATGTCCAAATATTTTCTTACACTCTTAACCTTGTCCTTTTGTCCTTCTAATAAGTCTTGTAGTGCAAAGTATTAATGGAGACAAGTTTTCAGTAGTTCTTATAGAATATGTTATTGGTGTCTATTTAGCCTTAGATAACCAAGATTATCTATTTTTTTCTCCACAAGTTTTGTATTTTATGTTTAAGTTTATAACCCTTCAAGGGTGTTTAGGTCATTACTTTGTCTTCACCTATTCAGTTGAGTACCACTTTGTCTAAAGGGCTATCTTTCCTTTACTGAATTAAATCCAACTGAACCTTTGTTAAAAATCAGTAGGGCTTATTTGTCTTTTGGAGATAGGGCCTGAGGCCTATACAGTTCAGGCTGCCCTTGAGCTCACTTTGTATCCGAGGCTGGTCTCTAACTCGCAACGATCCTCCTACCTCAGCCTCTCGAATGCTGGGAATACCGATGTGCACCACCATAGCTGGCTAGTAGGGCTTGTTTATATAGACTTCTCTGGAATTTCAATTCGGTTCCACTGACAGATGTGTCTGTCATTTTGCCCATGCCACAAGGCTTACTGGAACTATGTAGTAAGCCTCAAGGGTAGGTAGAATGATTTAGTTTATTTTTATTTATTTGGTACAGGGTCTCACTATGAGGCTCAGACTTGTAGTGATCCTCTTGTCTCAGCCTACACAGTGCCAGGATTACAGTCATGCACCACCAAGCCTGGTTTCAGTGGCTGGCATGGAGCCCTCGGGAGTTCCAGGGCCTGCACAGCATGCGGTACCAGGGATCAAACCTGGGTTCTTGTGTTTGCCAGGCAGGCACTTAGACCACCGAGCTATCTCCCCAACCAGTAGAATAACTTCTTACACTATTCTGAAAATGTATTTAACTATTTTAGTTTCCTTTGCCTTTCATTATAAATTTTATAATTTTGTCTATATAAAGGTCTTGCTAGGATATTCATAGGAATAAAATTAAACTTGCATATCAGTTTAGTGCAAAATGAATCCTGAGTCTTTTGATTAATGAACACGGGATGTCCATTTCAATTTTTAAAAATTACTTTCATTGAATACTTTAGTTTTGACATAAAAGTCAAATATATTTTTGTTAGATTTATGCTTATATAGTCCTTTTATTACTGAATAATAATAAATGGCAACTGTATTAGTCCAGGATCCATTGCAATAATAAAACAACAGAGGCTGGGAAAATACAAAGAAAACAAGTTTACCCAGCCAGGTGTGTTGCTACACATTACGTAATCCCAGGATTCAGGAGGCTGAGGCAGAACGACTGCTTCAAATTTGAGGTCAGCCTGTGCTACACAGTGAGACCCTACCTCAAATGAAATGAAACTAAACAAAACAAGCTTTACCTAGCTGTGGTGGTAGCACATACCTGTAACCCCAGTATTCTGAGAGACGATGGCAGAAGGACCACAAATTCAAGCCCAGTGTAGGCAACTCAAGACTGTTTCAAAAAAAAAAAAGAAAAGAAAAAGAAAAAAGAAAAGAAAAGGAAGGCTGAGGGCTGGTGAGATGGCTCAGTGGTCTAAAGCACCTAGCTAGAACAAGCTTATCAAAGCACAGGGACCGCGGTTCGATCCCCCAGCACCACATGCCAGCCAGCCCCGCCCCCTGGTGGACTGAACTGGTCACACACACACACACACACACA